ATCCAGCAATCTATATGTGTTTTCATTATCCTGAAATCTAGACTTTCTACTAAAGAGCATCGCTTTTTATGTGATATTCCATAGAAAAGTTTGAATATTTCGCAGAATGTGAAAATATTTTGAAATTAATGTGGTAAATTCGATGAATTACGCTGTTAAGTAACGACTCAATTGATTCATTCTCATCAATGAATGCATATTCCATAATTTTTTTCCATCTTTTGAAATTCAGCTCGCGACTCTCGTCTACGGTAAGTGATCGCCAATTACGTTCAAATAAAACGTCCTTCTCAAGGATTTTGTAGATTCGCTCCTGAAATTGATTAGATGACCACTTTTGACTATCATTCACAGCAAAGCATCAGGTTGAGAATTAATGCAAGAATGTCGGTTGAAATGATCAAGAACAAACCTTGAAATGAACGCTCTCTTCACCTTCCAGGAATACTTTCAGCTTATACCAGTCAAAAGTGGCCTTTCGGCGATATTCCCTCAACGGACCATCAATAGCAATTGGCTCGGGCTCAGACTTAGCCATTGTTCGATATTGTTCGGTAGGAATAGATCGGTACTGAGACAAAACAACGACTAAAGATGTTTCGGTTGACTGATCGAAACAATATTGGCGCTTGCCGAACGATAATATTATTTCTGATGAGATGAAGCTAATTTGAATTGTGAAATTAGCATTATCTTGTATTGATCTCATCTGGATAAGGCATCATTATGTTGCTGTTGTTGTTGTTTTTATTATTATTGGTATTATTATTATCATTGTTATTTTTATCATTTACAATGATATTATCGTTGTTATTATTTACATCATTGTTGTTTTTGTATTACCACTACTGCTGCATCGTGGATTTTTTGGAATCAGCGCAAAACGTCATCCAGAATCCGTAAAGAAACATCTACCAAATTCATTTCATCGCTGTGTTCATTGCAATATTAAGTTAATTTTCTTTGTAAATGCTGAAAAAAAGACGCGCAGAAGAGAACAGTTGAAAAGTGGAAGCATTGATTGAATAGAACTGCTGCAGTTTTGGTATGTATCAATTT